CACTGAGTCAAGCCAGTAGGGCTGAATAATTCGTAAGTTTGACAAGGTGGAAGTTTCAGGATCAAGTAAAGTTAACTAGATTTAATTAAAAATTTATTCTGTTTGTTTTAAAAAGTCAAAACGAAAATTGTAATGTCAGTTTCAATGTCTGTAATGGGAACAACGGCGAAGCTCTTCTTGTTATTGTATAAAATTGTGCTAAGCTTTTAAAGGAGAGTGCTTCGAAAGGAAGGAATAGCATAGTATTATGAGGTTTATCCTACATTAGACCGTCCACCGCTTGCAAAAAGTTTCTTGGATTTTGGGGCTCCGGGTCTTAATCGATTCTTCGTCGAAAAACACACTGTAAATTTGCTGACGAACTATGGGTTCGTAATGCAAACCAAAACGTTCGTAGCTTACGAAGGATTTTGAAGCGTTGTATTACGAACTAATTGTTCGTAAGCTTACGAACAAATAGTTCGTAATGCAAACCGATTGTTCGTAAGACCCTGTCTAGCCTTACAAACAATCGCTTTGTAATACGAACAATTTCTTGGCAATACAAAGAACGAAAATTGTTCGTAACGTTGCAAAGTATTTAGTTCGTAAGATTTTTACAGTGCAAGATTTAAGTGTCGCGGCGGTTTTTGATTTTCAAAAAATTATTCAGTGCGCTGCCCTTTAGAAGTTGTCACCCGACAGTATTTTAGTGCCTGAATAAGCTAGTATAATGTGCCTCTCCATGAATACCGCGATTTTGTTCGCAATGGGTTGCCTAGATTCAGGAGAACTTGTGTTCTTTGAGCTGACCGATATTACGAATATAGGGTCAAAGCCAAACATTTAAAGAGACAGTCGCGTCATAATTGGGCGCTTGGGACGATTTTTAGCAGATGATACTTCCAGTATCACTGCTTGTACAACACCTACTTAAACTAATATTAAGCAAATATTAAGCATTTTAACCACATATTAAGCTTTTAGAGAGACAGAGGGAGGGAAAGGGGGATCGGTCGTCCCAAAAAAGTGGTTCGTCTCCGCCCACCTGTTGCACTACCTAGTGTCAGCAAAATTATTTGTTGTGTCAGCAAATTTATTTGCTGTGTCAACAAAATTATTTGCTGTATCAGCAAAATTATTTGCCATGTCAGCAAAATATTTCCTGTACCAGCAAAAATATTTGCTCAGTCAGCAAAATCGTTTGCTTTTCCACCAAAAGTATTTGCTATGTCAACAAATTTATTTGCTGTGTCAGCAAAATTATTTGTTGTGTCAGCAAAATTATTTGCTCAGTCAGCAAAATCGTTTGCTTTGCCACCAGCACGTTTTACGTTACGTAAGACGTTACGTAAGACGTTACGTAAGACGTTACGTAAGACGTAACGTAAGACGTAACGTAAGACGTAACGTAAGACGTAACGTAAGACGTAACGTAAGACGTAACGTAAGACGTAACGTA